CCATCAGTTCTCTTTAAGATCCAAACATCTGTTCAGATAGTTGATATGGCCCCAAAGTGTCACTCTCATTTCTAAAACAACAAAGGTTGCAAACAGCTACCTGACAATAGCTCCAGATTTATTTATTATCATTGATGTTTAGCCAGAGAGTGATGGGAAAAGTTTTTAGCAAGATGCCACAATTTCATGCCGGAAAAGTGTTGATTATCTGTTAAATTTGGAATAAATAAGTGCACACTGATTGCACACATATAAAGTATCAGCAGGGATTTTTCCAACAGAAAAATACAGAAGTTAAGAAAAAAAATAATTTTAAAAATATCGCTGCTAAAAGGAAATGTAAATCTGGCAGAAGTTAGTCAAATTTTGGGTGCCTGTTTCACAAAATAAATAATATAATTGTAATAATAATAATAATGCCATTTACTTTAAATAAAACAGATGGCTTGCTGCCAGGCTGAACTCAAACACTTCTATGATAATGGTAAAAAGTTTTGACAGGAGAGACCCTTTGGTTTAAAAATTAATTGTTTCAGACAAGCTGTCAAATTGTTAACACTAACATGCCCTAAATGTAAAAATTTATATACCCAGAGACCAAGATTCACACTTGACTGTACCTGACTAAGAGGTTTTCAATTCTGTAATGATTTTTGGCACTAGAAATATGCCTGGAAGGTTCAAACACTTTACAGAAAAATTGCCTGACAGATTCTCTGCAGGTTTGTTTGATTATAAGATCAGAGTGAATTGACTGGAGGTGTTAGCAGCAGTTTTAGGTCCTTGTTTTAGAAACTTCAAGAAAATACTGGGAAAGACCACGAAAACTTATGACCAAGTGGTAAAATCTCACTGACATCTTTCTTTATCCTACATGTTGTGCTGGGTCCTAAAGACTATTCTGTCTGAGACCTCATTGAGTTTTGAGAAGTGGGTAGTTTCACAAAAAAAATCCTGCACCCAGTAAACCAAAATAGCTTTAACTTTTCTCAAGTATGAAAAAATAGGAAGAGTTTATAAAGAGATAGTGTGATATTTAAAGCTGAGGATAGAAATAGATGATGATCTGTTCTAGGTTTCACTTCCTACTAAGAACTTTAACAAAAGGATTTTAGGTGCAGAACTGTGGCTTTTGAAATCTGTCCTCTTTTCTCTGCTTTTTCTGATGCCAGCTGAGATTTGAAGTAGTAGATCCAAATTACTGTGGGAAACGCTGCTCTTATAGCACACTCAGGCTACACAGAAATAATGGAGAGGAAACTTGATAATCTGCTTGCTACAACCTCCTTCCAGGTAGTTGTAGAGAGTGAGAAGGTCCCCCCTGAGCCTCCTTTTCTCCAGGTTGAACACTTCCAAGCTCCCTCAGCTGCTCCTCATCAGACTTGTGCTCCAGACCCTTCCCCAGCTTTGTTCCCATTCTCCGGACGCTCTCCAGCACCTCAATGTCTTTCTGGTAGTGCAGGAGTAGGAGTAGAATAGGGGTAGAATGAATGAACACTTGCTCAGGGTAGTACTTGTCTACTTTGCTTCACAGCCTGTGCCAGATTCACCCACCCAGGTGTGGTGGGGAAAGAGATAAACAACCTGCTATCCCAAACCAATACTCTGCCAAGGTTCAAGATAAAGTAGTGTATCAGATTTCACCAATGGATTTTGTTTGCCTTTCATATAACTTATTGCAAGTCCTAAGAACAAGCTATTTTTTTATATGAGGCTTAAATAAAAGGTTTATACGAAGGCTATAAAATAAAGAAAAAAAAACTTCACATGAAAATTCCTCCAAACACAGGTAACATTTGCTTTTTCTAATCCCCATTATTTTAAAACACTCTTGTTGATCTCAAATATGAACAAAGTACTTTTACTTTGGTGACAGATTAAAGGTGAGTAATCTTTAAAGTATTTAAGTAAAATTACAAAAAAATAACCTGACTTTTCATATAATGGAAACTTCCAGCAGTGTATCAGGGATTACCAACAGCACATGATGAGTCATGTGGTGTAGTCTAGGATCATGATCCACTGGAGAAAAAGGAGCATGCAGAAGAAGAGTAGGTATTCACCTGAAGCTCTGCAGCAGTACACACAGGAAATCAGTGTCAACCCAAAACAAAACCTCTGGTATAAATTCCACAGTTGGAAACTTCCAGCAACATCCATTTTAGGTAGAAGTAGATGGAAAAATATTAGGTTTTTACTAAACTTGCGAGGAAACAGGAACATGTTAGTTATGCTCTGCTTTGAACAAACCTCAAGTTACCTGGACAGAACCTGTCCCTGAGCCCACAGAGGTCACCCACAAAGTGGCAAAGGATCTGGGAAAGGTTCTGGCTGTGAATATAAAAATGTAGATTTTTCTTTGTTCTCTTACATAAGAATCCCCCATGACCACAAGAAACCTGAATTGATAAGGATAAAAGATTGCTGTAACAGTAGCAATTCCTGCCACGCCAAGGGCAGCTCCCATGTCACCTTGCCTGTGGAGCAGCCTGTTCCTGAGGCTCCCAGACAGGGAGGCAAAGACGAACTCTGGGTCAGAGGGAGGTTGAGTTACATTTAATGTAGCACATGAAGGTATTTAGGGGCTCTTGAGAGCTGGCCCATTTCAGCAGTGCTGCTTCAATGAGCCATATATTGACAAATTATCAAGGTGAGATCAGAGGACTAAGCAACCCAGAGATGGATTTTCTCCATCTCCATCTCCATCTCCTCCATGGAAGAGGGAGAAAGTTCACATACAAGGGTGAACATCATAGAGGATGGCATAGATTATTTAAAATAAATAAATAAATAAATAAATAAATAGATTAAATAAATAAATAAATAAACGTTGTGAGTTTCATTAAGGAATGTGTAACCGAAAATACTGACAACTACAAACATGGTGATCCCGAGGTCAGACCTATGGATTGCTTGTTGATAGATCTTATGAACTATCCAGAAAACTTCTGCCAAGTGTTGTAGAAGTGGGATTTTTTTTAATCCTAACTTAAGTGGAACAGGCTAAGGGGAATTGAAAAGAAAAATGCATGTTAAAGGAAAAAAAGAAATTTTCCATTAAAAGTGTGCTTTTCTTTTATTGAATATATGTGAATGTGGTAACATGAAGACTGACTTCTTTTCATTTCCTTTCCTTTTTTTTTTTTTTTTTTTATAACTGGAAAGGTCTAAAACAAAGATGAAGCAATGCCAGATTGATGGAATCATGCCACAGAAGCCAGAGAGGAAAGCAGACAGCTGGCATTAAAATTTGGGAGAGGGAGTGCTTGGAACTGCCAATATATGCTGGAGAAAGGAGAAGGAAAGAACGAAAAAAGGAGTAAAAATCTAGGAGGAACCTCAATTGCCATAACTTCTGTGGTGAAACTGTTCCCCCTGTGGGCTGATTATTTTCCAGCTCAGTAAGGATGCAAAAACTCCTCAGGACCATAAGAAAGCCTTTAAGGAAACCATGAAAGCCTCATGTGAAAAAACCCACAATTTTTCTGTTGATTATACTCACTAAATAGGGGTTTGAACTTGTGTTGAAAATCAAAGAATATAGAAAATGACTGCTCCAGTTAGCTACAACTGTGTCTTTAACATTCTTACTAACCTCCCTGAGAACCCAAATACCGATCTAATCCATTTAGGTAATTTTTATGTGTATCTTCAGCTCTGAGTGGTGCAAGGCACAGGCAGCTAAAGGAGAGATATTCACCCATGTCAGGATTGAGAGTCATCTAAACCACTAAAACACCCATTCTTGGCACCATTCTTTCACTGTGTCCTTCTAACTTCTCCCCAACTCCCTCTTTGCAGAAATAAGAACACAAGGAGAAGGTTGGCCTTCTGCCAAAGTCCATGACAATAATAGTAATAATAGAAAATAAAGAGGCAGGTAATAATATTTTGTTTCCAGATCTGTAGATAAAAAAAAAGTCAACTCAAGACATTAAATGCAGGACCCAAATATGAATTATAGCCTGCTTTCAACAGATCTACACTGAGGGAACTACAGTGTTGCTGCCAGTACTCCCTTTTTTCTGCTACTTAAAAACTCTAACTTGGAGGGAAGAAATTGTGTTTGTCCTCTGTTTACTCTGATGATTCTCTACAAAAGAAGACCAATACTTATAACTGTGGCAATGAATTTGCCATATACAGTATGGAAAAAGTCCTGCCAGAAATGGACTGGTGAGGAAAACAGCTCAAACTCTATGGAAACAGAAGTTTTTACTGTAGTTTAAACATGTCTCAACATGTTTGTGTATTTTCTGCAGTGTCACTGTATCCCTCTCCCAAACACCCCCTGTGAAGCTATTGTCTCCCATACAAGGTGTCCTGGGAAGATGTCCCGAGGCGTCCCATTGGTCCTTTGTTTAACCCCTTCCTATTGGCTGTTGACCCCTTACCTGATGGTTTCTTTTGTGTGACCCTGAACTTGTGATTGGTCCCCTTTGACCTTCCTAAAAGCCTTATAAACCCCATCCCCACAATAAACTTCCTCTTTCGTCCGTCCCTCCCAGGTGGTCTGTGTGTGCTCCTTGCGGGGTCACCGGGCCACGTGCTGGGGTGGGGGGAAGGGCATTCACCTCGCAGGTAATGGGGCTAGAAGCTTAAGGCCTGGAGGTCTCCCCCTATCCCTCAATTCGCCGTAATTGGTGCCACGTGGTGAGGCCAAGATTGTTTGAACTCTTCTGTGAAGATAAAAGCAATCCCAAGCACAGACTGGGGCGAGGTCTGTGTCAACGGCGAACCGGAGTCTAAGCGGCAAAAGATATTAGCAGGCGCAATCACCACAAGAGAGCAGTCTGTTCTGAGTATCTTCAACCTTCCTGAGGACATTAGGTAAGGAGCAGACCCGGCATATTCCCTTATATAAAGAAACAAACAAAAAAAAAAAAATGGGAGCATCCCTCACTAAGACAGAAAAAGAGAACTATAAGCATTTGAAAAATTTATTAAGTTGTAATGGCAAATCGACTAACAAAAAATCCTTAAAAAGCCTTTCCAAAGTTATGGTTAAAACTGACTTTAAACTTCCTTTCTGTCTGACGACTAAAGATTGGGAATTACTAGGCAGACAGATTTGGATAGCTGCAAATTCCAACGATAAAGCAGCAATACATGCCAACATAGCTTGGACTCATATCGTAACAATTCTTGAAATGCAAGAAAAAGATTCTGAACCCCAACGAGAAAGCAGCGCAGCTTCCCTCCGTGGTCTAGGAGAGGGTGGGAGATCGAAATCGCCGCGGGAAACAGGGGAGGAGGGAGATCACGAGCGGCAGCCCTGGGCAGGCATCCCCCTTCAGCCCCCCCCATCGCGGTCAGCACATGGCGGAGCCGCGCCCCCGGTCCCTGATACAGCAGGAGGCTTTGGAACTGGCCAGCCTCAGCCCCCTGCGCAGATGGGACCCGCAGCGGCAACCCCCAGCCCGGGTTTCACCATTGGGACAGCCCCTGCCCCCCTCCGGGCCCCTCCGCCGCGGCCGCCGCTGCAGCGAGGGGAGAAGGAGCCGCCCGCAGCCAGCTCCAGCGGGATCCCTCCCCGCCCCCCTCCCCCTCTCCCTCCGAGAGCAGGCGAAACCATCCCGCTGCTCCCAAGCCCCGACTTCCCTCAGCCACCACCCCTGACATGGAATATATAACCTCTGCAATGACTGCTCCACAAACCCAATGCACTGTTTCAGCAAAATAAAATAAAAAAATCCAGTATAAAAACAAAAAGCAATCAGTCCATTCCAAGAAAATATGTTTATTGAATTATAGTTCTAGTCAGGCTAAATTTTTGCTTCCATTACTGAGAGGGACATTTGAGAGTAAGAAAAAAGCATCAATAACACAGCAGTACTAGGAAATAGTGTTCAACTGTTCTGTGATCATTCAGTTTATAAAACAGAATTAGTGAGTATATGCCCTTTCCTTTAAGAAAAGGTGCACATTTTTCTGATTAACATTTCTGCTTTTTAATACAGTTTTGTTATTTAAATATGTTTGATTTTCAAGGGGTATCTAAGGAAAGTAATTAAAACTGGAATTGCTTTTGAGTGACGATATCAGATCCCATTTCCTCCTTCTCCATACACTGATTTTAAATCAGAATTTGCCTAAACTTGAAATGGCTTTGTTTATCAAAGAAGGAAGGGAAGGGAAGGTTTGGGAAGGGAAGGTTTGGGAAGGGAAGGTTAGGTTTGGGAAGGTTTGGGAAGAGAGGGGAGGGGCAGGGCAGGGCAGGGCAGAGCAGGGCAGGGCAGGGCACGGCAGGGAAGGGAAGGGAAGGGAAGGGAAGGGAAGGGAAGGGAAGGGAGGAAGGGTAATCCTTGCATCTGGCTTCACAGCAATATGGAGCTGAAAAAAATCCCTCAACTTTCTACAGAAATAATGACCATCATTGTTTACCAGACTATCAATTGTCATAACTGTTCGTGTAAATTTTTTGTATTTTTAGGCACACCTTAGAAAAGGAGGAATGGAGATCATTGGAGTGATTTGAATCAGCTCATCACAGTGCAAAACTCTAATGGTGTTCCTATAATGGTACCCTAACCTGGGACCTTCAAGACATTTAATTCAGGGAGGTAGATATAAGGAGTCCTGCTTGACTGCATGGAAATGGAAATGTGAAAAATTAAATAATTTCCTGATGGAGGAGGGTACTGTAGTCAAGGAGTTTAGCCATAACTTTGAAAGTGCAGTTTAGGAATATGACTTCATTACTGACTAGCAGGAATACAAGGAAAAAATTACCTCTTATGCTTCTTTTTGCCCTAACATGAATCTGCTTTCTTAGTGGGATATATTCTCCTTTTTTTTTCTAGGAAAAAAAAAAGTTTATCATATTGAGAAAAAGAGGCAAGATTTTTTTTTCTTAATAAACCTACATGAAATTTGAGGTAAAAATTACTAATACAACTTTCATCCTGAGTTTCTTGGAAGGACTTTTTTTCTGTATTTATAAACAGTGGGGGAAATGATTTGCCTGTGTCTTTCTGTAAAAAATCTTTCATTGGTTAAGCTGTAAATTGATAATTAAATTGATATAATTTTTTTTCTCTTTTCTTCTAGCTAACTAGCCTGAAGTTTTACTTACCCAAAGTATCTAGTGGTCTAAAAAGAATAAAATGTTAACGCCAACCCTGCTAGAAAATGTGAGACTTCCCATGAAGCTCAACGATGACTTTTTCAGAAGTGACACATTACTACTTGATCTCACCAATCTTACTGTAATAATCTTACAGTAATTAAAGGACAGATGTTCCCATATGAAATCAGAATCACACTCTCCAAATCATCCTCAGTGGTTTGTTTCCAAGGGAGCTGTTACTTTTTCAAGATTTTTAAACACTTTGTTGGCCTTCATCAATTCCGGTTGAATTTTGCAGCGTACAAAAAAGATCAAATTCTTCAAAGCAGTTAACAACTCCTCCCACTAATTCAAAAATCAAACTCTGCAACCTTTAGAGGTATGGAGACATTTCTTCCAGTTATTATACTAATAAAAAAAACACATTAATGGCCTTGTGGCAATCTTGTCTTTAAAAGTGATCATAGAGTTTAAATAATTACCTTCAATGACAGTATTATGGAATTCAGTAAACTCATCTGGTATTCCTGTCATTAGCCACAGGACAGAGGGATGAAACCACTTGCCCCTACTGCAGCAGTTTTTGGTCACATTTCCTGAGAGGGGAGATAATTTTCCAGAAATACTTTACTATTTGTGAGGTATTTTTTTCAGAACCAAAATGTCCATGAGCTTCTCCTGAAACATCTCCCTACTTCTTTAGTCGTTCTGAATTTCCAGGGTTGTTTGCTTTAAAATAACGCTTGAATAATGTTACATTTAAATTTCACACTTATGCCTACCTTTTGTGCTTGATACACTGGCTTTGTTTGATTAAGACAATCATTTACTACTTTCAGTTGGAAAAAATAGCTATTTTACACATTCTTTCCTTCATTCAAAATGTATATGACAAACAAAAAAACCCCACACCCAAACAAATCCAAAACAAAACAGCATTGCAAAAACATGGAGAAAAGAGAAGAAATCTCTTGCAGACTTGAAAGACCTTAATTAATTTTGAAGCCACTTCACTCAATCAGGAATAGAGAAATGACTTTATAGCTTTTAACATATACTCCTATATTACTCATGGCTCTTACCTATTATAATTTATTGAGATTGGAGGTGACTGATGGTAGGCTTTTCCTTTATATTATGTTTTTCTGTACATTATGTATAGCAAAATTGCCTTCAGTCTTGCTAAACAAGGAAATGTTTGGTCAACAATGCATTAAAGTACCTTAAACGTAATTCTAAACTGAATCAGCAACATTATTTGAATCTTCCAGGAGATCAATGAAGTATCAATTCCACAAATAATTTATATAATGTCTTGAACAGATAATGGCTCCCACTAACAGCAATTGCAAATGTGGATGTTTGACCTCATCACAATTCTGCTCTGTACACGTGAATCCTTCCCTCCTTCTCTCCCCCCCCACCCCGCCCTCAGCAGTCAATCTGAAAACACACAAAGAACGTACAGTTGGCTATGAGTCACCTCAGTGGACAACTCAGCAAGCCACAGTTCTGAACAGGGGCTGATCACAATACTTTTTGGTAGTAGCAGTCTTGTGAATGGTCATTCTGATGTTTTCTGTATCAAACATGAGACAGGTCCATGCTGGTCACAACTCCAGGTTGTTTTGTTGAGTCAGGAGCAATGCTCCCTGCTGATCTTCCAACAAATAGTTGCTGGTGCATACATGGATCTGTGCCAAAAACCCCAAACATCAAAACTATGTATACGCAAACCACACTCAAAATGATCAAAAGATTCTCTCCATAGAAGGGTAGGGGGAAAAAAAAAACCAAACACCTAACCAACCATCCAACCAACTAAACAATTCCCTGTACCTTCCCTTGGAGGAAGAAAACTGGGCTTCTTTCCATTGATGTGTGATGCTAACTACTGCAGATATCTCTGGCAAGCAGCATGAAGTACACCAGGTAATTAAACTTAGTGCTGCTTAGTTTCCTCAGCAAAGATAGAAAGCAATAGGTAAGATGTAACTTTACCACCTAAAAAAACTCTGAAGGGCTTCATTGCATTTTCTAAGTCTGGATTATAACTGGATTTTTTTTTGTCTACTGAAAAAAATCAAAGAAGAAAGCTCAGCTGGAGGTATGGAAGTCAGCCCTGCACACGGGATTATGGAACAGATCCCATAGGAAGAAATTTGAAACATGTGGAAGACAGGGAGGTGATTAGAGACAACCAATACTGGTTCACCAAGGACAAATTGTGCCTCACTGATCTGTTGGCCTTCTATTATGGAGTGACTGCATCAGCAGACAAGGGAAGAATTATGGATGTCATCTTCCTGGAATTCTGTAAGATCTTTGATACAGTCCCCCAAAATATTCTTACTGCTAAATTGGAGGGTTATGGATTTGAGGGATGGACTATAAAGTAGATAAATAATTGGCTGAATAGTCTAATTCAAAGAATTGGAGTCAATGGCTTAGTGTCAAAGTAAGGAGTGATGTTACCACTAAAAGGCCTGTATTGGAACCAATACAGTCTAATAATATAATGTCTAATATCAGTGACACAGACAGTGGGACTGAGAGCAGCCTCAACAACTTTGCTGATAACACCAAGTTGGGTGGTGCAGTTGACTGGCTGGAGTGAAGGGATGCCATCCAGAGGCACTTTAATGGACTGGGACTATATGAACCCCATAAAGTTCAAAAAAGCTAAAGGCAAGGTCCTGCACCTGGGTCAGGGTAATCATTATCTCCAGTTCAGGCTGGGTGATGAATGGATTGAGAGACTGGAAAAGGACTTGGGATGCTGCTAGATAAAATACTGGACATAAGCTGGCAGTGTGCACTTGTTGCCAGAAAACCAATAATACCCAGAGCTGCATAATAAGAACTGTAACTAACAGATGGAGGGAGCTGATTCTCTGATCTCATGAGGTCCCACCTGGAGCACTGCATCCAGCTCAAGAAAGGCATGGATTTGTTAGAGCACATGCAGAGAAGGCCACAAAAATATCAGAGGGCTGGAGCACCTCTTCTATGAAGACAGGCTGAGAAAGTTGGGATTGTTCAGCCTGGAGAAGATAAGCCTCCAGGAAGACCTTATTGCCACCTTTCAGTACTTAAACTGGGCTTATAAGACTGAGAGAGACTTTTTATGAGGTCCTGTAATGACAGAAAAAGGGACAGTGGTTTTAAACTGGAGAAGGGTAGATTTAGATTGGACATGAAAAAGAGATACTTTTTATGATGGGGATGGTGAGACACTGGAACAAGTTGCCCAGAGAAGTTGTGAATACCCCATCACTGGAAGTCTTCAAGATCAGACTGAATGGGGCTTTTAGCAGCGTGATCCAATGAAGAGTGTCCCTGCCCATGGCAAGATGATTGTCCTAGATGATTTTTCCTAGATGATTTTTTTCCAAACCATTCTATGAATTTTAGGTTCCACACAATAGAAAGGACAGTTTGAACTGCACATCTATGTCATTTGTATCTGCTGCATGAAATGATGGAACTGCGAAGAGGATGAAGAAGAGCAAAGGGAAAATAGCAATGGACATAGAAAATAGTATTTTGAATCCCATGACATTC